TAAAGTTTTGGACATTATGGTGAGGGAAGAGATGAAGGAATGATTGGATCAGAGACAAAAAAAGAAAAAAATGTAATTCCAACAAACAATAATGTTTAAAATCTTGGTATAAAATATATTATGTATGGTTATGAATATATATACTGTCTACATGTGGTTTTTTTAAACATAATTTACTCCGTACCAAATTGGTTTATAAGTAAGTGCTCCCAAATGTGACTGGCCAAAAAATAATTCAATGAAATGATTCTGAGTGATATTCTGCTATAGATCAGATTAGTGCCTAGCCCCATTGTCATCAGAGAGGCTTCGTGCAGCAGCTGATGGGAGCAACTGTGAAGACCCACAGTCAAACATTAGGTGGAGAGAGCTCAAATTAGGAATCTCCAATAGGTTTTTCCCTTGGAGCTCAGGAAACCACACAGAGGATGGAGAGTATGGAGAGGGAGCCAGAGGGGTCAAGGACACCTGCAGAATCAACAAAGCAGAGGTCATGGGGGCTCTGAAACTGAAGCAGCAATTGTGGAGCCTACATAAGACTATGCTAGGTACTCTGTGTATATGCTATGGTTGTTGCCTTGGTGTTTTTGTGAGAATTTCAACAATGGGAACAGGTATATCTCTGCCTCTTCTGCCTGCTCCTGGGACCCTTTCTCTCCTACTGAGTTGCCTTATCCAGCCTTGATGTGAGGGTTTGTGCCTTGTTTTATTGTATCTTGTTGTGCCATGGTTGCTTGATGTCCCTGGGAGGCCTACTCTATTCTGAGGGGAGATGGGAGAATAGGTCTGGTGGAGAGGGGAGATGGGGGGAAGGACTGGGAGGAGCGGAGGGAGGGGAAGCTTCCATAAAGATATAGTGTATGAAAGACGAATAAAAGTAAAAGTAAGTACTCATATAAACTAAAGCTATTATTAACTTGACCTAACTTCCTTTTGGCTTATAGTAAAATTAAAATTTCAGGAACAAAAAAATGTCAAAATACAAGGAAATATATTTAATCAATGTGACCATGTAAGTAAAACAAATAGAGAACCAATGGCCTTAAACCTTTCTTTGGGACAATTAGAATAAGTTTTTAAATTTAAAAATATTTATTTACAAAAAAAACAAGATACACATAAGCATGCAGTTCTGATAAAGATGTTATCTCCTTGATCCTTATCTCAATTCTGGTTCTACATCATGGTCCCTAGTGATTAGTGGTATAAATTAACTTTAAGAAAAGATTTTTTATGCTCTAGGACATGTTTTCTTCCCTAAGTGTCCTCCTTTGAAATACTAAACTCCTTATTCCCAAGATTGAGAGGACAACTTACCTCTGTGTCTTTAGATATGTGTGTATGTAAATATACATCTAAATCAAACACTTACAGGCTTTAAGGATAATTTTAAAACTACTGCCTTTTTTAAAAACAAACAAGTTTTCCAAGAGCCCTATCTTAGCCAAGCCTATGTAAGAGAAAACATTAAATATGTTTTTTATTGTCATTTTAAAAACCTGCTTTCAGGCTTACAAAGACATCTTAAGAGTTCCATGGTCAGGAACTACATACACATGAAAACATACATATACACTGACATATAACCATGTATGGGACTGCATACATGTGAACATGCATAGGTGAACTGATGTGTAATGATACTGGGAAAGTACATGCATATATATGACAGTATATAACTTTGTCTAGTGTCTTACTTTTTCTAATGCTGTGATAAAACACCATGACCAAAAGCAACTTGGGTAGGAAAGGGTTGATTTGGCTTACTTACATATTCCAAGTCACAGTCCTTTGAGGAAAGCCACGGCAGGAACTCAAACTGGATGAAAGTTGGAGGCAGGAGCTGATGCAGAGGCCATGAAGAAGTGCTACTTGCTGGCTTGCTCCTTATAGCTTGCTCGGCCTGCTTTCTTATAGAATCCAGGACCACCAGCCCAGGGGTGACACCACTTACAACTGGCCGGGCTCTCATCCATTAATCACTAATTTAGAAAATGCATTACAGGTTTGACTACATTCCAATCTTATGGAAACATTTTCTTAATTGAGGTTTCCTCCTCTCAAATGTGTCAAGTTGACAAAAACTAGCCAGCAAACCCAAGAACTGCACACATCTGAACACATGCATATGTGCCAATATATAAACATGGTTAGGAAATACACATATGTGAACACTATATACTTTCACTGACATGACCTTTGTATAGAACTGCATGTAGGTGAACAGGAACATATGTACCAATATGTGCCTGCACTTGGTAATTCTACACATGTGAACACTACATATGAGCCCAAATGTGACCACACTTGGATCTCTACATGTATCAACATTTATGTATGCACCAAGATATTCCCATGATCGAGAATAGTACACATGTGAACACACATATGCACTAACATATGACTATTCATGCTCAGAACTATATGAGTGATCATGCATATGTACCAACATGAAGTCAGAACTCAGATTTTCATGCATGTGAACACACACATATGAGCCAACATATGATCTTGCTCAGGAACTGCCTGTGTGTGACCACACACATACACCACCATGTGGCCATCCTTTGGAACTGCACACATGTAAATAATCATACACACTGGCATGTTACTATGCTCAGGAACTGTACATGTGCAAATACCACAAATGTGCTAACACATAATCATACCTAAGACTGCCTGCATGTAAACACGCACATATGCTCCAACGTATTCCCACCATCTAGAACTGCACACAACAGGCTGGGCAGGATGGCACACACTTTTATTCCCGGCACTCAGGAGGCAGAAATAAGCAGATAGATCTGAGTTTGAGGCCAGCATGGGCTACAGAGCTTGCTCCAGGACAGACAGGGCTACACAGACAAACTCTGTCTCAAACAAAACAAACAAAATAAAATAAAAAACAAAACAAAAAAACCAGAACTGTACAAAATGAACATGCACATATACACCAATACATAACCAAGCTTGGGAACTACATACATGTGCATATATACATACTGACATATACCACATATGAACCTGCACAATAGGTGAACATACATATATCACAAACATGTTACTGTGCTAGTAAAGTATACACATGCAGACTTCTCTGTAGCATCAAACATGGAACATATAATACTATCAGGAGACAGCTCTATAATACTCCATCCTATCTCCCCACAGAAAAGGTAAGTCTTAAAAGTAATGGCTAAAATGAGAGTGGTGGAAAGCAATACCTTAGGAGACACTCAGGGAATTATTGAATAATAATCTTCAAAGTGTGCTGAGGTGTAAATCTTGGAATCTCTGCTCTGTAGGAGTGATGACAAAGATGAGGCAAATGAAGAAAGCCTAAAATAACAATAACATAGTTGTAATTTTGACACAGTTAAATACATGCAGGGTATTAGTCCTGTAATACAAAAATACTTCTGCATAAAGAAAGCAAAACGCTTCTGGGTGGCTAGGAGAATTCTTATAGAGTCAAATTTGTTTCAGCTCATTAATCAGGTAACACATACCAGCACTGTTCCTGTCACTTCGGTTCTATTACATGTATTTGATATTAATTTAATAAGTATACACCTAATTTGTATGTTTACTGTCTTTCCAGTTGCTATCAAATCTGGGAAGACCAACAATTAGGGACTAAACTGAGAATACAAGATTGCAAAGGATTACTTTCCAAATCTTACTGAAATTTGGAAATTCTACACCCATTTTCACATGCTGTACACTTGCCAACCTTCTGGGCTGACTGACAAGTCAAAAGAGGCTCCTGATGGTCCCATTCACCCTGGAAATGTAGAGTCCCACAAGCTGTGCATTAAGGAACCACAAAAAGGGAAGCCACAGACAGGGAGCTAGTACACATACCAGTATCCTCATTGCCCCACTGGCCACGAACACACTACTTCAGTATGCATTTCTCCCTGTCATTCAAGAACTGAAAGACCTATTCAAACTAGGAGGCAACCAAGACAATCAAGGTCATTATTACTGTTTTCTGAATGTGTCAGTATCTTAATTACTGTTCTACTGCTGTGAATAGACACCATGACCAAGGCAACCCCTATAAAAGAAAGCATTTAACTGGAGGCTTGCTTACAGTTTCAGAGGTTAGTCCATGATCATCACAACACAACAGGCATGGCTCCGAAGCAGTGGTTGAGAGCTTTACATCCTGATCCATAGGCAGAGAGAGTGAACAAGACTGGGCCTGGCATAGGCTTTTGAAACCTCAAAGCCCACCCCGAGTGGCACGACTCCTCTGATGAAAGGCCATACCTCCTAATCATTCCCAAACAGCTCCATTAACTGTGGACCAAGTATTCAAACATATGAGCCTATGGGGCCACTCTCATTCAAACCACCTCAATTGAGAATCTGGTTCCTTCTGTTGGTTTCTGAAGCATCATCTCTAAGCTCTTCTCCTCACTTCTGGGTTGTAGAGCCCACTCTGCTGAATGCCAGCTGGTACTACCCTAAAGAGTAAATATTGCCAGGGAAGCGCACACTAATTGGGTATCCAGTGCCAAACAGTCGGCCTGAAAGCATACATACACATAACATTATATAAACTGAAGAGGTGTGTGTACACACACACACACACACACACACACACACACACACGCATGCATGCAATGACAATTGATGGCAAAAGAGGCCATAGATCTGAAAGAGAGCAAGGAGGGGTATGTGAATGTTTGAAGGGAACAAAGGGAAGCAGGAAATGATGTAATTAAAATAAGTTTCAAAAATAAGCAAGCAAACAAAAGGTCTCAAAATGAGGCAAATAAAAGCCAGCCCTTAAAAAAGTAAATACATTGCCTTTAGCACACACGCTCATGCACACATTTTTCCTCCATCCACTGCACATATGCATGCAGACAAACAGACACTAAGAAACGAGCCTCTCACAGTAATCATGTGTACACATAAACCATACAGGGAAGCACTAGAGTTGCTCACTTAATCTGTTACTCATATATCAGTAAAGAAAGCAAGCCAGCTCTGTTTGAATCTGGATTTTAATTACATACATAAATAGTGATATAAGAATGAGGAGTTCTAAGGCTTGTACATTATTTCCAAATGAATGATTGTAGATTAGTTGGTCTAGAATATGGCATCACCCAAGATAGCAAAGAGGCTTAGTGTTGTTTTTCCTGAAGAAAGCCAGTTTACTATATCCAATACTGACTCTCTGCCATTTGTCTGTAGAAATACTGATTTACCGTCTGGAGTTTCCAATGTTTACCTATAACTAAAAGAAAGAAAAATTTAAGTTAACTGTATCTGGGAAAACAAAAATGACTCTAAGATTATACATTTTAAAATTTGTTTAGGTTTAAATTAATAAGCAATATAACATTTACATTACTATTTCATTACCATAAAGACTTTCAACCAGCTGAGTGCCCAAGCATACTGAGATATGTGGATGATGCAAACTACATGGCACAGTAAATGCCATGCACCTCTTGCCCTCTGAAGACCAAGAGATACTTCTGTGTATTAGCTGGGGCAGACTACAATTCCATCATGCTCAAACAGCTGGATGTCTTTCCTCATGCCTTCACCAACCTCATACCTTCCTTCCTTCCAGGAATGAAACACATACAAACACACCAAAGCCAGATTGTCTTTTCCTTCATATGTGATGAACATGCTCACAAGTCTATAAATATTTTTATGTGCTAAGGTTTAACCCAGAACCTCACACATGTTAAGCAAGCACTCTAGCACTAAGCACATAGCCCAACATCTGAGAAACCAGTGAATGACTATTCACTGATCTTTCACTATAAAATCAAAAACTCTTAAACATGCAAACAACTAGCTAATTGTTCTCTCTCAGTTTATTAACTTTTTTTGACTTCTAAGAATTTAATAGATTTACTGTTTTGTTAAATACTGGAAACAACCTATATTAGCAAGGATTAATTAAGCCACAGTAAAAGTATAGACTAGGAACTAGCTATGTAAATAAGGAAGTGGCCAAGTGGATCTACAAATACTGATGCAGAATATACACAATACATTAAGCTGAAGAATCAAAGTCATTATTCAACACAACTAAACATAGTACTATTAGATATATTAACAAACAACAACAAAAAAAAAACCCAGCCTAAATCTGATTAAGTTTTCAGATCCAACTGTTGCTTTATGAAAAGTAAAGAGAAGAAAGGAATGAAGAGAAAAGTGGAGCTGACACTAAATGGATAATTTAGTCACCATCTGAACATGGCAAATTTAAAACCAAACCAAACCAAACAAAACAAAACAACAAGTTTTTCAATGAATAAATGAGGAACAAGAAACTATTACATTTAAAAGACAATTAAGAGACTTATTCACTAAAATGTGAAGGGCAGATGATATTTGAGCCCTGGTTCAAATAAACCAACTACAAAACTTATTACTGGCCAGGCATTGGTGGTGCACACCTTTAATCCCAGCACTTGGGAGGCAGAGGCAAGCGGATCTCCGTGAGTTCAAGGCCAGCCTGGTCTACAAGAGCTAGTTCCAGGACAATCTCCAAAGCTACACAGAGAAACCCTGTCTCGAAAAACCAAAAACAAAGTTATTAGTGAAAGGGCAATATGGCTGTACAGGCTGTATCCCCCAGCACTCAGGACACTGAGGCAGAAGGATCACAAATCCAAGACCTACCTGGACTACATAGTGAGGATGTGCCTCAAAAGAACAACAATAAAGTTACTGCTGACACAAACAGGAAAATCCATACACTAACTAGACAATAGAGAATATTAAGTTATTACTGTTTAGTTTCTTTTCGTATGATGATAACATTTTACATATTCTTCATGGAATTTTCTGCGCACTTGCAGAACAATATAAAGAAAATGATGAATGGCCAGGCAAGCCTTTAAAATGTTTATCTGGGGCTAGGGTATACTCAGAGATAGAGTGCTTGTCTACTGTGTATAAAGCCTCAGCTTCCATCTCTACCTTAGAAGAAACTAGTTATACCCAACATACACTATATTTTACGTGTGCAGTATGTATGCATACATGTGTTCATTCATGTGATCACACAAGTGAACATGTACCTGTGGATCACAGGTTGATGTTGGGTATCTTTCTTAACACTCTCTACCTTAGTTTTGAGGCAGGGTCTCTCAATGAACCTGGAGCTCACTGAATGGGCTAGGTTAACCAGCCATCTTGCTCCAGGAATCCATCATCTCCACTTTTCCAGTTCTAGGATTACAGGAACATGCCACCACATCTAGCTTTTTACATTGGTGCTGGAAATTCAAACTTAGGTCGTCATGATTACATGGCAAGCGCTTTGCTGACTAAGCCATCTACCTAGCCACCTACTGCTTTTATAATTAGAAAACAAACCACCAATAAAATTCTAAAAATCCAGGACTAAAAATCAAGGTTGTATATGCAGTAAGTTGAGACCCTGATCTAAAATACCTCTGAACACTGAAATGGCTTATTACCTACTTTTGCTTTGTTAGATCGCATCCCTATACAGAAACACTAACACATTCTAAGTCAAGTATCTAAAGGACTTGTAGGGCTCTCTGGAAGCTCACTCTCTAGTCTCCCTTCTGCTGCCACATCCACAGAACTGCTAATTCTGGGGTGGAGCTTAGGCCTCTGCCTTTTAACAAGAGCTTGGTGTCAGTTATTAAATTATTTATATAACGGCAGAGTACTACTAACTTTGTATAAGTATAAATGTCAAAGGGGAACACACACACACACAGAGAGAGAGAGAGAGAGAGAGAGAGAGAGAGAGAGAGACCTGATCATAAAACTCATATTCACTGCAGGAAATGTGAAAAAAATATATTTAGAAATAAAAATGTACATTTAAATTTTCTAGATATCTCCTGATCTAACAAAATATACAGCCTTTCTTCTCTAATAATTGAGGCTCTAGGCCTGTCATTCTTGCTACTCAGGAAGCTGAGACTTGAAGATGGCAAATTCAAGGCCAGTCCAGGCAACTTTATGAAAAATTATCTAGAAAATAAAAAGGAAAGTAAGGGCTATAGCTCAGACAGGGGTGGAGAGAGTACTTGTCTAGCATGTGTGAAGTCTTGTGTTCAATCCTATCAACACAAAAACATTTATACATGCTCTCATGTAATTATTATATAAACAATAATCCTCTTTATAGAGCTATCATAACTAAGCTAGTTTTATGCAGCTGAATATCTAGGTTAATTTTTAAGTCCTTATAATGTGCTAATTATCAGGAAATCACAAGCTCTATTATATACTTTTAACATATACACAAAATGCTAATATAATTAAGGTTTTTGTACTTAGCAGGTGCCTGGTAAGTAACTATTAAACAAACAAACAAAGAGTAATAGTGAGCTGAACATAACAACAAAAGAAATTGCATTGAGTTTCTAACCTCTGTCTAATTCTAGCTTATCTAAAAGACCCTGGTACTTCTCAGAAAGAAATACAAATATAATTAAATAAGCCATGACACTTAAAGCCAGAAATCAAAGACAGAATAAAATATAACCCTTATGTTTCCATATCAAGGTGAAAGTGCTAATTAATTAAAAATAAATCACTTTAGCTAACACTAACAATGCTGCAAATAACCAGAGGTTTTTCATTTATTCGCTTGTTTTATTTTTTACCTGATTACAATGGGCAGAGCATGGAGTTTTCTACTTATTTCCAGGTGAATTCTTCACATTTCCTGGCTTGTAAAAGAGAATTGAAAGCTTTAATGCAACTTGAAATAAAATAGTGAAATATAGCAAAGTGTATTCAGTATTTGGCTGAATATAAACATGAAATATTGAGGCTGGAGAAATGGCTCAGTGGTTAAGAGCATTGGCTGTTCTTCCAGAGGACCTGAGTTCCATTCCCAGCAACCGCATGGTGGCTCACAACCATATGTAATGAGATCTGGCACCTCCTCTGGCTGGCAGCATACAGACAGACGCTGTACACATAATAAATCTTAGAAATGTTTTAAAAAATATGAAATATTATTTTCTTGAAAGGTGGTTAAGCCATTTTGTTGAAGGTCTGGGGTGGGATGTCAAAGAAAGGCTTAAGAGATGCCAAATTCTCAACTGGGGCTGCAGTTAGAAATGCTAAAGGTGGTAATAATACTGGATGACCCATTTCTCAGTAAATTGACTAGTAACTAGTTTCCTTCAAGTGCCTCGTTATGGCAAGCAACTCTGGCACAAGGAATAGAATAAAGGCTACAGGAATCCTTATTCTATAGACTCAGCCAAACAGTTGATTCCATAAAAGCAAAGTCAAATCAATAATGAAGACTTCTTATTTCCTAAGTTAGATTTGTTACTGCATGTCACTATCACTGCTGTAGAGGGCTTGACAGATGTAAGAAAGCTTTGTGCATTATCCACAAGGGCCAATTCATTCTCAGAGTTTAAACTGAACTACAACCATTCTGCCTGACTACCCTTAAAATTAATTTGATCATATCATTCATGAGAAGAAGTATAGAAAAATATCTAGTGAGGAAAATTCATGTGCTAAAGTTCAGGCTTTCCTTTCCTGTATGTTTTTAAGACTCGGATTCTGAAATCCTATTAATAAAACCTGGTTGAATATCATGAACTGGCAATCTGAACAACTCTGGGTTACAGCTGGACAGGCCATGAGGTTGTTCTTCTGTAGGCTATACTTGGTGCAGGTGGCCCTGGTGGCCCTCTCTCATCAGCACTCATGGGTGAAGAGCAGATGAGCAAGAAAGACTATGTGACTGACTGTCATTGTACAGCATAGCTTCTAAGCAACTTTAACACCTACTGGAATGGTTTAGAACAGTTCTCTATGAACTGCTTTATGCCCATCATACCAGCATAATTAACACTGTCCTCTCTCATTCACAAGAGTTTCCTAGTTTGGATGATAATATGGTCACCCATCTACATACCACATTATTTTACAGAGACATACAGGAACATATGCATTGCTTGGTGACTCAACGTAAAATACAGACATTTGCCTGATGGAACTATACAGGATTCTCCCCATCCCTGTCCCAAATGTACACACATGTGAACACACACCTCAACACAGCCCCTTGGGCCTTTCTGCTGTTACTCAAGCTTGTCAAGCTTTCTAGGACATGGATTTTGCAAAATGTACTCCTTGCCCTAGAATGATCAACCCCAATTTTTGCCTGGCAAAGTAATTATTCACCCGTTTCTCAAAATTTTCTTTGTAACGTGCCTTTCAACAATTTAGGTTATATTAGAACCTTTATCACTTTCACTATTCCCATCTTCTTCCTGATTTGTACTATTTCCTTCATGTTTGAGTCTTTCATTAACCTATATTCCTCATGAGCCCTGGAACCTACTATCAATCAGCATTCAAATGTTTGTTGAATAAACAAATGGAATGGGAGAGAAATTGGGGATAGTGAGGATCTTTTTTGTAAAGTCTAGGACCAAGCATGGTGTTACAAACCTATAATCTAAGCACTTGGAAGGTAGAAAAAGGAAGACGGTGATCTTATGGCCAGTCTGGTTTACATATAGAGTCTCAAAAAAGGGGGGAGCTTGGATGAGTTAGGTGTGGTGGTACACATGTTTAATCTCAGCACTCAGGAAGCAGAGGCAAATGGATCTCTGTGAGTTCAATCAAGGCCAGCCTAGTCTACAGAGCTAGTTCCAGGACAGGCTCCAAAGAAATACAGAGAAACCCTGTCACGAAAAAACAATAATAATAATAATAATAATAATAATAATCATCATCATCATCATCATCATCCTCATAATGTGATTTAATGCATATTTGTTTTTGTTTTTCAATGTATTATTACAATGTCTATGAGCACAAATAACAATTTATATTAGCACAACTGAAACTGTTTCTAAAAAGATCAAAACACTGGTTCATAATTACTATGCATTGTTATGTAAAGGGGATTGTCAGTGTGGTGGTTAACCTTCTTGTCAATTTAACTAGATTTGGAATCACCTAGAAGACAGAAAAGTGTGTCTGTAAGAGTGTAGGTGGCCCCATCCATGGTCATGGTGTCAGGTCCCAGACTGAACATAAGGAGAGAGTGAGCAGAGCAACAATATTGCCTGCTCTATGCTTCCTGTTCTGTTAAGGTGTGAGTCACAGCTGGGAGCCATTCCCATCACCATGCCTTTCCAGCCATAATGTACTGCACCTTCAAACCAAGACCCAAAATAAGCCCTCTTGTCTCTTAAGGTGCCCTTATCAGTTATCCATCTCAGCAATAAGTAACTAATATGTGAGTCAAACATCCAAAGCATTGCATCCTCCTAAAATGTCTGAGTCCTAGAACTAGACAGGCATTTGTGAGTTTGATTCCCAAAATCCACGTTTAAAAAAAAAATCCAGGTATGGTGACATCTCAGAAGTAGGGAGGTGACAACCCTACTTCCCTTGGGCTCAGAGGCCATCCAGGCTAGTCTACTTGGAAAGTCCCAGGCATGTAAGAAACCAAGTCTCAAAACAAAACAAAAGAACCCAGGTGAACAGTATTTGAGGATGACAATGTCCTCTGGACTCCACTTGTTAGTATTCAGGCATCTGTACTGGCCTGTCCTTGGGTTCTGACAGGACGCATCCTCAGCTGCAGACACTAAAAGCACCACCTGTGCACATTCACTAAGTTCTCTTTTAAAGGGGCCCTACCCACCTCCCATCCTTCTTTGTCTCTTTCTTTCCTTCTCTCTTCCTCCCTCCCTCTCTGCCTCTTTCCTCTCTCTCCTCCCTCCCACTGTTCCTGTTCCCAGAGGCCAGTCTCTTTGACTCTCCTTTCCCCTTTTTACAATCCCTTTACCCTAATTAAAAAAGAAAGAAAGAAACTTCTCTGATTGAACTCTGTTGAATGGCATCTTTCCTCTCAAGCCACTTTTCTTAAATCACAATACCAATCCTACATGTGAGTGCACAGCACACACGCATGCACACACACTCTCTCACATATTGCCTCTCTCTCTCTCTCTCTCTCTCTCTCTCTCTCTCACACACACACACACACACACACACACACACAGTCCTGGATTATTTTCATCAATTGCTTAACTCCTCCAAAATGCAATCAAAATGCAATTTGCTTACTTGTAAAATGGAGGTAATAAAAAGGTGACTGACAGGCTCCTGAGTAAAGAGCAATCTGAGCTAGCCTGCATGAATGTCATCTACTGTACATGATAGGTCACTTCTTTTAAATAAAAAGTAGCTAATAAATGGAACCAGCCTAAATGTCTACCAGTAGATGAATAGACAAAGAAAATGTGGTATGTATCCCTTAGGAGATAGATGGATTATAAATAATGGAATTGTCATATTTGCAAAAAAAAGTATTTGAAAAAAATGGGTAAAACTGAAGATTATTATGTTAAGCAAAATAAGCCAGACTTGAAAAGACAAATATTGTATGTCTTCCTTCATATATGGCTCCTAGATTTTAATTTATATATGGATATACACATGACTATTCACTAAAAAGTGAACCATGAGAGGTTTAGAGGGGGTCTTTAGAGAAGGGGGAATAAAACATATCTGATATTAAATACATGGCTTACAGTATAGACAAAGAAGGTGAAGAGGGGACCAGGGGGATAAGAGGTATGAGTAAGGAGGATCACCACAATCAAAGTATGTATGAAAAGGCCAGAAGAGAATTCATTATTTTATATGCAAATGTAAAAAAAATGCAAAAGTATAAAATAAATAGGTGAAGACAGACGACCTGTATTGGTCCCACCAAAATTCCAGTTCTCTGGAATGTGATAGGCAGAATGGTGGCTTCATAGTTGAGTGTCTGAGAACCTGTTACTGTGCCACCTTCAGATGAAGCATACAGCAGAATGACTTTGGGCTACGTGAATAGACCCAGATGAATTTAAAGAGTTAATAGAAACTAAGAAGGAGGCAAAACAAGGGGGTCAGAGAGAGAAGTCTTGAAAAAGAAGACCTGTGCTGCTGGTTTTGAAAAGAAAGGAAGAGGACTGCCAAGGAAAGTTCCCAGAAACTGGGTCAGCCTCAGTCACCAGGCAGCAAAACAGACCTAGCAAAAACTACATTCTGTCAACAACCTAAGTAAACAGGAATTCTGTTCTAGGGCTACAGGAGAGGAATGCAGCCCTGTTAACACCTTGATTCAGTACTAGACTTCTGACCTGTTGTGCAAAGATAATATATCCGTACTGTATTCAGCTTGAGTATATTTCTTGTTTCAGAGACAACAGGAGCTGCAAACTTCAAAATCTATTAAGAGCAGAGAGTTAGCTAGCCTGTATGCAGCCAGCATGGCAAAAACAGTACTTACTGTTTACAGCATAGGTCATCTATTGTTCCTACTTTATAAAATTAAAAAGAAAGTAAGGACAATGTGGTAGATTTTCCAGAAAGCTAAAGTTCTGAATGAATGCCATTTCTCTTATATAAGACTATTAGAAATAAAGGAACTAGATACTGGTTTTTCTTTCTTTTTAAAATAAAGTTGAAGAGCAGACCTTCAGAACTTATTCATCTTCTTTGAAACTGTCTACCCATCAATTAACACCTCTCTTCTCCCTCCTCCAGCCCCTAGCTACTACCATCAGTCAATCTTTGCTTCTATGGCCTAGTAACTCCATATACCACACATATGTGGAATCACATTGTATAGACCCTTCAAAGGCAATTTTTAAAATATATAATGTAAATTTTTATTGACTCTCCGGGAATT